GGCTGGATTTGAACCCGCCACCTTAGGTGTATGTGGCTGGCACCTTAGCCACTTGAGCCACAGGCGCCGAGCCAAAACATCATGTTTCAATAAATAGTTACCAAAGAGCAAAGAGTGCCATTTCACGCCCATATCGCCCTTTCCTTAGCTCTCCCCACTCAAGAGTATTGCCATCTTAACTATTTGGAGGTACTACCTTAAAAAAACAAAGGCAACCTCTTTTGAAAGGTTGTGAATTTGAGAGTCTGAGGTGATGACAATACTGAAACTGTGACAGTACCCTGTAGTAAAGAAAGCCATCTAACAGTACAAGAACTTTTAATGTTAGTTACATGAACAAGACAAAAGAATGCATCACATTCCCAGAAGATGTCTCATCATCTTCAGAATATCATTATCTTTCTTTCTGGGTTGAATAAATTGCAGTGCTACTTAGATATGAAAGGATAAAATGGAATTACTTCCAGAAAGTATTGCTTACCAGGTATCAGCTATGTCTCTATCTGATGGACAAGACCCCAGTGATTTCTAGTCCTTTCTGTTTCTCTAGGATATTAGGCTAAAAAAGTACTTACCTTTCTTGTTGGCATCATAGGATCCAATGATTAGGCTGAAGACCAAGATAGTATCCATGTTAGTTTGAGCACATGCTCATTGCAGAGACATTTGACTACTGACCTGTTACAGCCTCTTATAGCTTTATCTCTAGTTGCTTTTACTGCCCTGGAACCAAGTCTGACCCTGAGAGATTCTGGTTCCACCCTGATTATTTTGCCCCATTTCCTGAAGATCCAGGAATAGAGCTGATTGGACAAATGGCCAAGAGTGCTTATTAATGATTGACTCAGTTCTTCTTCTGACTTTGCTGCTGGTGCTGACATAAAGAACTGTAACAAAAGGGCGTAAAGACCCAGTGATATGCTTTACAAATACTTGCAGATAGACACGTAGACATGTATATGTTCATCTGCATGCTCACTGATACAGGTGCATGGATTTATGCCCTAACAGAGAGATATGGAGATTTCTATTAATATAACTTCTAGAGGCTCGGTGCCTGTGGCTCAAGTGGCTAAGTCGCCACATACATGTCAGGTGGCGGGTTCGAATCCAGCCCAGCCCGCCAAACAACAATGACAGCTGCAACCAAAAAATAGCCAGGCGTTGTGGTGGGTGCCTGTGGTCCCAGCTACTTGGGAGGCTGAGGCAGGAGACTTGCTTGAGCCCAGGAGTTGGAGGTTGCTGTGAGTGTGATGCCACGGCACTCTACTCAGGGGGATAGCTTGAGGCTCTGTCTCAAAAAAAAAAAAAAAAAAAAAAAAAAAAATATATATATATATATATAACTTCTAGAATAAAGCAGGAAATGAGGGCTAGGAATCAGTAGAATTGTTTTCTAGTACAGGACCTGTTATTAACTATATCATCTTGAGAAAATTATTTCTTGGGAGCTCAATTTTCTCTTCTGTAAATCGAGTCCTGACAAGATAACCTCTGGAATTCATCCAGTTATACACATAAACTTACATTAGCACAGACGTACGTATGGGGTTTTGCACATTTTCACATTCCTAAATAGTGAACTGAATGTGGATAGACAACATTCCTATTACTATTGGGATGAGAGGTTGTAAGGAAGCGCTAGGTGAGTGGTACTGTCTGCAGTTTGAGAAGGTTTTCCTAGAGGGATAACTGTTGTTGATGATCTTTTCAAAATTGTATTTTTTAGTAAAAAAATACACATCTAATGTAATACTCTGTAGACTCTGTGACAGGATAGCTAGATGGATCATCAAAAAGAAATGAAGGGCGGCAACTGTGGCTCAAAGGAGTAGGGCGCCAGCCCCATATGCCGGAGTAGGGCGCCAGCCCCATATGTGGCAGGTTCAAACCCAGCCCTGGCAAAAAACAAAAACAAAAACAGAAACACAAAAAACAAAAAACAAAAAAAGAAATGAAGATCGGGTGGTGCCTGTGGCTCAAAGGAGTAGGGGGCCGGCTCCATATGCCGGAGGTGGGGGGTTCAAACCCAGCCCTGGCCAAAACTGAAAAAAAAAAAAAAAAAGAAGATCTACTCAGATCTTTATCTATATCTAGAGCTTCTGTAGACTTTCTCCCACTGCCATGTACTGTGTCAAAGCCAATATGGATTTAGTTATGCATGAGAAGGTTCTAGAGGCTGAGACTGTGATTGATAATGATATAAAGGGAGCTTGGTTCAAGGGACTTGTTGTGAAGGAGTTTATGAGGTTTGAGTTAAATCATAACTTAAATACTACCCTGTTTCTTTATTTTTTCTTTTTTTTTTAAGACGGAGTCTTAACTTTGTTGTCCTCAGTAGAGTGCTGTAGCGTCATAGCTCACAGCAACCTCAAACTCTTCGGTTCAAGAGATCCTCTTGCCTTAGCCTCTCAAGTAACTAGGACTACAAGCTCCTACCACAACATACAGCTATTTTTTAGAGATGGGATTTTGCTCTTGCTCAGGCTGGTTTCAAACTTGAGTTCAGGCCATCTACCTGCCTTGGCCTCCCAAAGTGCTAGGATTATAGGTGCGAGCCACTACCCTGTTTCTTAACACTTGAATACAATTTGAAATCTGGCTAAATTGAACACCAAAGGAAGTCTTGGTGGAGAAACATAAAGGGAAGAAATGTCAGCAAAGGATAATGTCTAAAATGTGGAAGGAGGAAGTGCTGGCATCCAGCCCTAGTACCTTTAATTCTTTCATTCAACAATTATTTACTGAGTGCCTACTATGCATTAGGCACTATTCTAGCAGTGAGTGAGACAAAGGACCAAGACAAAGACCAAGGGACAAAGTCTGTATTCTCATGAAATACAGGAAGCAGACAATATACATGGTTGAAAAATAAACTAGTGCAGAAAGGCTAACAATAAACAAGATAGGCTCAGTACCTGTGGCTCAAGTGGTTAAGGCGCCAGCTACATACACCTAAGGTGGTGGGTTCGAATGCAGCCCAGGCC